GGAAGGGATCTCACAACGACCAAATTCAAAGTGAGACAACTAGTACATCTTATCCTGACAAAAGTAGTCTTCGCCTGCAAAGTTTCTGGTCGTGACGCCATGGTGGGCTCGGCGATGACCTTCGTCCTGCCGTCCTAGCAGTCTTGGTCTTGTTGCATGGGAATGGAAACCTTTGACTGACTCCTCGGAACTTCGCGCCTGCGCTTGCCTCCTTAGCACCAAAGAGGAAACTATTGTCCTATGCCCGCTAGCGCCCGCCTGGCCTTGGTCGTTATGGCTCACGTCATCCGAGCCTCGTGAGGTGAGGCTTGCATAGAAATCTCCGCTCCTCAGGAGCCAGCCTGAGGAGGCAGCTCCCACTAGAGGTCTTGGTGTCGTCCGCCTCGCGAGGCTTGGCCCCTTACGAGGGTCTTGAGTTGTTGATGCCGAAGGTGGGCCATACCAGAAGGTCGATGGAGCCACGCCATGGGCTATAGGCAGGCAAGTCTGGGTACCCCGTTCCCAGAACGCCGATAGACGCCATCAGAAATGGTGCTAGGGTCGTCGTAGGGCTGCGTTCATGCACGCATTGGGTTTCTACGGGCTCCAAGAGCCAAGCTCGGACGCAAGCTGCGACAGCAGTGGCTATGGTGAGGACAAAGTGGGGAGGCGGCAAGCAAGCTGGAGGACGAATTCGAAGGGGGGAATAGAGGGGTTGGAGGCGCAGCTCACCAAGGGAGCTCACGGTGGCTCGTTGAGTGATCGGGAGCGCAGTACGGTGCCGGAGTTGAGGGAGATGGCCGACGGAGATCTGAGGAGGACGACGACGCGGTCCGGCACTAGGGTGGCTCCGGCCTTGAGTTAGTGGTCGAGGGAGACAAAGTAGACGCTTGTCAATCTCCTCGACAGGTCGGGGCGGCGAGATGCGACTGGTGGCTATGCGGGCGTGCGAGCGGAGGTGACGGCAGCGGCAACCATGGCGGAGAGGAAGATAGAGGCGCAAGGGGGAGTGGATCCGGGCAGCTAGAGTTCCAGGGGGCGCGGTTCGACCTTATCGTGTGGGCGGCACGGTGGATGGCCGCCACGGCGATGCCTGGCATCGGCGGTGGCCACGACCTGCTGCCCCCTATAGCAGAGGTAGACGACTAGGGGGGCGGGCTTGGCCGCCTGGTGGGCTAAAACCCAGGGTGCAGGGCGTCTCTTCCCTTTTTTGTTTTCTTTTATTTGTTTTCTGTTTCTATTTCTTTTTAAAACAAAATAGTTTTATAAAACATAAAACTTGCACCTAAATTAGTATTATATATTAGGCCACTGCCACAAAAGTTTTGCACTTATTTAAATTAGTTTAGGATTTTTATAATTTTAAAAGCATTTAAATTATTGTTTTGCCCTTTGTTTTATTTATTTTAGGGCACTTAACCATTTTATTAAATGTTGGTTTCACCACCATAATTATCTATGGATTATTTACCATATTAAGAACATTTAAGTTTTCATGTTTGTGATTTTTTTATGTCACTTATTATTTGAATTTGAATTCAAAGTGGAATTTGAAATGAGATATGGAATCAAAGGTGATCAACACACTGTTTAGCAAAATTATTTAGCTTAATCACATGGGTTACTGTAGCTCAAAATACAGGGGTGTTACACCGTTTATATTGTTTCGGCTAATCGCAAACAGTTCATCCGAGTGAAATAAATATTGTATATCGCACACACCTCGATCTGACTGATCATCGCCGCAAACCCGGCCGCCGCCGCCGAACGCAGCCAAGGCCACTGCCCGAAGCAGGGCCGGCCGCCGCACCCGCCACCATTGCCGCCCTAAGCCGAGGCGGTCACCGCGCTGCCACCGGTCAAGGTAGGCCCGCCACGCCACCAAGGCCAGATCGGCCGTGCCACCACATGCCACGGGGCTCCGCACCGCCCCCATGGCGCAGGAGAGAGAGAAGGCCCCTGCCACCGCCGTCAGCCCCCGGGCTATAGGCCGGCGGCGTCCTTCGACGGCGGCGGAGGGAGGGATGGAAGGACGGGGAGCCCCCGTCGGCTAGGGTTGCGATCCTGCCCGAGTCGCCCGAGCGGGGGCGACACGTGGGGAGCGGGGGTGGGGTCGCCCTTACTAGTCTCCCTTGCTCTGATCGTTTATGCCTTTCCCTTGCCCTTTAAGCTTTTTGTTGGGTCAACATGATGACATCTTAGTAATCTAGTAAGGTATTTGATGGGCTCCCCTCTGGTAAAGAGTTGCTTCATGGCATTATGAATATATATATATATAGAGAGAGAGAGAGAGAAAGAGAGAGTACTTTCCATCTAGTCAAAATAGCTCCCATTCATTACTAATTTGTACAATTTTTTTTGAAACTCATTACTAATTGTACATAAATCCGTGTTTTTTATTGGCGCAATTTCCTTTCCTTAAGACAAGAATTTCTAAGGAAACTAAAATGGCATGTTCCTTTTTAGAATCAGAATAATAGTGCATCCAACAGAGAAAGGTGTGTACATATCCCTCTGAGGGCAAACAAATGATGTGACTTATGTATGGCTTATTGCTCAACAAATCTACGTACACAAGAATATCACATAAGTGGATCTACCTTGTTCCTTGATTTTTTCTTTGGCAGGTGGACTTCATATTCCTTGGTGACACACACATGGCCAGATTCACTTGGCAAGCCACACTTTTTTTTACCAGGAAGCTACACTTCTTTGCTGCGGGATTCTCGTGACAAGAGGGTTATGTTCCATTAGATACCCGGGTTGTTATTGGTGGAATATATGAGTGCTCAATGGGATTTTATTTATGCAAAATAAAATTCAGACAAAATTTGTTCTTTACAAGTATTCTAGATAGAAAACATTTGCATTTACGGCACCTAGTTATTTAACAAACAATCCCAATTATGGATTGAAGAAACAATACTCCCTCCTTTCCGGTTTATAGGGCTCATCTCAAAAAGTTTGTTTTTCCTAAGTCTTAATTCTACTACTCCCCCTGTTTAGGTGCACAAGTCATCTTACGTAAACCAAATAATCCAAAAACACTTGAACGCAGTGCATTAACTTTCACCTCGTTTCTTCTTTCTTGACATAAATAAAGGAATCAAACAATAAGAGATGTGGGTGTGTATGACTTCAATAACTTGAGACTTTCAGACACGACATGCAGTGGTCAGTTCGTTGCATGCAATGCTATTAATTAGCAAATAAGCATTAAAATCTCTCGTTTTCTCCTTCGCCTTGGTCACAGTGCACAACCTAAGATGACTTATACACCTAGAAAGAGGGATTAGTACTTAGGCTGGTTGTAATGGAGAGTATCATACGATACTAGTGTATGATACTACCTTTCTAATGCATAGTACTCCCTCCGTCTAGGTGTATAAGTCATCTTAGGTTATGCACCGCGATCAAGGCAAAGGGGAAAACAAGAGAACTTATTTTTTTTTGCTAATTAATAGCATTGCATGCAATGAACTAAGCACTGCATGTCGTGTTTGGTAGTCTCAAGTCATTGAAAGCATGCACGTCCCTTATCTCTTATTGGTTGATATGTCACGAAACAAGAAACGAAGTAGGAGTTAATGTACCATGCCTAAGTGTTTTGGGATTATTTGGTTTTTGTAAGGTGACTTATACACCTAGACGGAGGGAGTATCATATATTAGTATCATGTAGTACTTTATTTATTGCCATGCATGACACATAGTAGCATAACATTTATTATGATACAGTATCGTGATATAATACTCAATCATCTTTTTCTTCATTTAATTGTATGAAACCTCATCAAAATAGCCTAATTGGCATGCATGATACTAGGTATGATACTCCCATTACGACCAGCTCATCACATGTTCAGATTTTAAGGTGTATTAAATCACTACATGCAAGGATGGAGAAAAAACTCATCAATGCATGTAGAAGTTCTTGGTCATTAAGTAAACATGTGTGCATGTGGTGTAATTAATGCATCGGTATACACAAAATTTTGAGGAAAACGAGAGTACTAATTAAGTACTTTTGCAAACTACGGAATTAATTCCACCATTCATCATCTCCCTTGGTGGAAGAGATTTTTAAATTAAGCCCTATAAACTGAAAAGGGGGAGTACATAATTTAAAATTAAAGAACTTGCGCTTACATATCAAAAGTCAGTTGGTTGTCGTACTGTCTAGGAACAATAATACAAAGATCTTAATTCAAACAAATGAATGATGTTTTTAGGTAAGTGGATAGCTATTAAAGGGCCTCTTTGGTTCAAAGGAGAAGTAGAGGGGGGAAAGTAGGAATAGATATATACTTTTTGTGATAGTACAATTCATGCATTTAGTTCAAATGAATGGGGCAAAGGAAAAAGGGAGGAAATTTCATTTGATCTCAGTTTCAAAGAAAACGCAGGAATGCTAACATTCACTTGGACTTTCTTTTTTCAAATTTCTATGCACGAAAAACGAGACTAAGATCTGTAGTGGTATATTAAGAATCTAACAATACATTTTCATGTGCTTGAACTTTAATTTGGCTATGTTTATCAGGATTTTTTAATTTTTTCAATTCATATGAACCAAACAACCCAAGTTGATAGAATTCATGTGTTCTTTAAATCCTGCAAACCAAGGAACCAAACAACCCAAGTTGATAGAATTCATGTGTTTTTGGTTATAATTTCTACAGTTTTCCATATGGATTGTTCAAGATTAACCAAGTCTATGCGGTGGCACAGGTTGATGACTAGTATGTGAACATGAGAAACAAAAGGAAGAATATAAGGTGCTAGCCTCTCACCTCAACTGCAAAATCAGTTATGAGACACAAGAATATAACCGAAACAATAACTGATGTAGACAACGATACATATCAGAAACAATCCTGATGCGGACATGTTATTTAACAAGATCCGAAATGGTATGCAATAATTCCCACGGAAATCCTTCGAGATGCGACGTTAAGGAAGAAAGCTAATTAAAACACATAACCTTTCTAACGTGCCGGCTGCGCGGTCCAGCGGCCGTGATTAGAACGGTGACGGGCGGCCACCGGCTGTGCCTGGGTTCCATCTGTAGCTGGCAGCTTCAGGCGGGAGCTGCACGTTGCCGAGGAGGTTCGGTGGCAGCCCTTCGAAGAGGCTTGGATCCACGTCTCCGCCGGCCATCTGAGATGCTTGCTGCCCCGCAGCCAGCATCCCGGCGCTGTCTGCCTGCCCTTGCGCTGCAAGCAACTCGTCTTCCTCCAACGGCAATCGCTCGTAGACAGCGTTCGCGAAGGAAGCTGCCATTATCACCACCGGCCCCGCAGCGGTCAGCGAGCCGACAACGGTGCCGCCCACCACCTGCCCCTTCCCGCCGGCAAGGTAGACGGTGAGCCCTGTGGCTTCCGGTGGTGCTGGAGGGGGTAGGAAGGAGCCAGACAGTGAGAGTATCTCGAACCGGCCGTGGAGGGCGACAACCGCGCCCTGCGAGGCAGGCTGCCGCAGCGTGAGGTTGGTCACGGTGCCCGCGCCGCTCAGCACGCAGACCCCGCGTTGCCGGCGGCGGGCGAACGCCGTGATGCTCTCGGAGATGTCGCACCCGCCCGCGACCTCCATGACGTGCGTCCGGAGCGTGTTAGCGCTGTCCCGCGTAATGATGATTGGAGGCTTCGGCTTGTTCTTGGACCCGGCCGGGCGGCCCCTCGGTCGGCGCGATCCGTTCTCACCTCCATCCTGCAGTCCGCCACCTGAAGGGGAAATCAGAGCAAGCTCACCGCCGCTGCCGTTGCCGTTGCCACTGTTCTCGTCATCCTCGTGGCCGTGCTTGGTGCCGTGGCCGCCGAACGGAGAGCCGCCGCCATGGTCGTCCTCCGACTTGAGATGCAGCTGCTGCTGCTGGAGATGGTGATGGAAATCACGGGTGTTGAAGGGTGGAGGAAGATGGTGACCGTGGATGGATGCAGTAACCGGATCCATGCTCCCGACCTAGCTACCTAGGTTATCCTTTCTTGCTCAGCTCTCTCTCGTTTGTCTTGCTTTTCTTTATTCCGCCTCTATCTTATCTACAGACAAACCTCTCATGTGGCAAGGGACGACGAAACCTACGAGATGGAACAGTGGCAACGAAAGCAAAGGGGGAGTAAATAAGTGGGAGTAGAGGGAGGAGAGGAACTGGCAAATTATTAAGCAAGGAAAGCTGTGGCTGGATTGCAGTATGATATTGCGGCAAGGAAAAGATGTAAAGGAACGGCGGTCTGCCCCCTTTCCTTCACTCTCCCCCCACTTTGTCGTTTGATGATTAAAATAAAATAATGATATGAAGGAGAGAGGAAGAGAAGGACACGACCACCACCGCGCGTCTTGTATACAACACGATCGAGTGTGTGTTTAGGGCATATCTTTATATATAATCCTGTTCACAAAAATGTTTATGCCATCACCAACAAGTTATCATCAACTATTCCAATAAGTTGGCCTATCCAATAAGAGACGGCAGAATAATTATGCTTGCTCTCTAATTTTCACCTTAGAGCTTGTGGAAGGGTGGTTGATTAATTTACATACTCAGTCTTTAGTCTCTCCCCATTTTATTTTATGCTACATCATCAGTTGTCCTACCTGACAAATTTTATCAGCAATTATGTTACATGTATTGAAGATGCCCTTAGTGGTCGAGCCGCTGACTCTTTGTTCTCAATGATCAAAACTGAGTGCCTTATCTAATCTATAAACAAAAATATGTCTGTGTCACTGGCATGGATTATGAAATGTTGTATATCCTCTGTTTTTAAATATAAAACGTTTTGACAGTTTAAATTGAAGTGAAGCAGCACTTGGTTTTCACAAATACCTCATCCAAAGATTTATTTAGGGTGTGACTATAAAAATATAAGTGTAGTGTGTGGCCTGCAATTTACCTTCATTGATCCATATTAAAGATTAAAGAGACCTACACGCCTAATAGTTGGTTCCAAGCTTTATGTCTTCTGCAAGAAAAGGCGGCTAGGGTTTTTGCGTCCCGTCGGCGGTGCCGCCAATCTGGCACGTGTTCTATGGTCTTAGGCTATGGGTGTGTGGTGGATCCCTGCCCTTGCCGGCGGGAGGGCTCCGTTTTTAGGTGCTTCTTCAAGTTTTGTTAGGGTTTGTGTCCTGCCCAGGAAGACGAGACGACGAGGACTTCTTGAAGATGAAATAAGGTTCTTCATGCCTAGCCTCCGTCCCGATTGTGTGTGTGTAGCATTGTCAGAGCGCGCGTGGAGGTGTGTCACTGGCGGATCTCACGGGATTTAGTCGGTGGTTGTTTTTCATGTATCCGCTCGGATCCGATCTTTGTTCCTCTTTGTTCATATGTCTTCAGGTTGGATCCTTCCGATCTAAGTTTCTCTTCATAGGCGGCGGTTTTTGTTCTGGTGCATTGATCCGGGTCTTAGCATGACGACTTCTTAACTCTCTACTACAACAAGTTATGCCCGACTCCGATGAGGGAGGAACGATGACGGTTGCACGCCTTCGACTTTTCAATGTTTGTAGTCATCGCTAGGTGGTCTACAGATCTGAATGCAATTTTTATTATTTCTTGTGTTTGATGTACTGCCATGATTGGAGATGAATAGAGCGTCAAAAAAAAAAGATTAAAGAGACTGAGTGAGTGCGTGAGTGAGAGGATCAAACGGGTATTGGGCACGTTGCGTGGGACATGGAGCTGCTTCCGTGATGTGCTCGAGGCGCAAGCTCCTAGTGCAACTGGACTGTTGAAAGTTAAAAGTTGAAACTCCAACACACTCCCACTTATCTCTTCGATCATTTTTAATTCCATTTTCAAAACCCATCGATACTTCTGTAAAACCTGGCAGCCAATCTGACAAGGCTTCTTCCGGAACAGCACTTGGAACAAATTAAAGCTCGCCGATCAAGGCCCACCACACAACCAAGAGTCATTTTCATGCAGCGTGTAGTATGCGGTTGCTCAATGATGGCATGAAAGGGACTAAGTAGAGTTGGATGGGGCAGGGGATATTCCAAGACATGACCTGAACTATCATGGCAAGGCCAGAGCCTGGAGCTGCCTAGCTTTGTCCCCCGCCTAAACTTCCTTAGCTTTGGCACTTGTGCACGCAGGAAGAACGGAAATGTGTCCGGAGTTGTTGCCTGTGCAAGCTAGCTTTGTGGCCGATCGGGCTGGCGTGCGTTTGGCATCCAGACAGCGTGGTTCTGGGAACTCTAACCCTAACTAATTAATG